CTTTCTTTTACCCTCATTTATTGAATCCCTTCTACGCGCCCAGTGTTACACTAGGAGTAGCAGTTCTATGGATGAAAAGAAAGAATATCAACAAATCCAGCATCCTATGTTTAAATCCTGTGAAAGACAGAGATGCATGTGAACACATACTTGAGAGAAGAGGAAACACAAATGTCCCCAAACATGTAATAACACATTGGAACACTATCTCCATCAACTAGATATGGCAAAAATCAAGCATTCATCAGACAGTACTAAGTGTTGACAAGGATGCAGAGCAATGGGAGCTCTCATTCATGGCCGCTGGGAGTGTAAACAGGTACAAACATTTTTAGAAATGCTTTGTTATTGCATAGGAAACTGGACATGTGCATACCTTAAAGCCCATAAATTCCACTCTGAGCTACACAGGCTAGAGAAACTTGCATGTGTGCACTCATGAGTTTATATTAATGTACAAATATAAACCATCAAGTGTCTATCACAAGTCAAAGGGATAAATGGTGGTATATCCACACGATGAAATACCACTCAGCAGATAACACACAGATCACACATCAACACGCATAAATATGAGGAGCATGTTGAGCAAAAAAAAGCAAGTCACAGGAAAATGCATACTGCATTCTTCAGTTTACATGAAGTTTTTAACCAAGCAATGTGTTATTTGAAGTAAAACTATAAACACACACAAGGTACACTGTAAGCACTGAGGAGGAGCAGAGATTTTGCTTTCTCCTGTATCAGTCAGCTCAGGCTGCTGTAACAAAATACTACAGATGGGTGGATTAAACAACAGACATTTATTTTCCCACAATTCTGGAGGCTGGAAGTCCAAGATGAAAGTATCAGCAGCGTGGGTTCCCCAGTGACCTCTCCTTGGCTTGCAGATGGCCATATACTCTTTGTCCTCATATCTTCCATTTGTGCATGTCTGTGTCCTGATCTTTTCTTCTAAGGACAGCAGTCGGATTGGATTAGGGCCCACACATATGGGCCTCCTTTTAACTTAATAACCCCTTAAAAGGCCCTATCTCCAAACACAGTCACATTCTGAGGTACTGGGGATTAGGACTTCAACATATGAATTTTAGGACATAATTCAGCCTATAACACCTCCCCACATCTTTGGTCGTCAGGTAGTTGAACTTAATTACACTTAACAAAGAGTTAATTAGAAGATATTCTGTTTGAAGGGATCAGAGCCGAGTTTTGAAGGACATTCAGAATTAACTGAATAACAAGTGTTGAGAATTAGTCTTCTAGCATTGTACAGAAAGAGTGCAAGTGTGGACTGAAGGGGGTCGTGAGGTGGCATACAATGCAGAACTCAGGATGCTGATGGAAGGAGAAGATAGCATGGACAAGTGACGTGGCAGATATAGACATGCACTAGACTTGGCTCCTGATGGTGGGATGAATGATGGAATGATTCCTAGGTGTCCCCAGCAACAGCAGAGTGCAAGCACAGAGAAGCACAAATCAACTGCTGAAAGAATAGGAGTTTCATATTAGTCTCTTCCAATTGTATTGGAACTCTAATGTGAGCATACAAGATATTCTTAGAAAATAATTGATCATCTAAACTTTGCTAAAATAATTCAGAAAATGTCACCTACCAGTCCCAGGTACATTAAATTTAGTATTTGGTTGAACCATATGAAATGGCCCATATTTGATAATTCTTCACTTGCAGAAATGGCCATTCAATATGGTTCAACCTGATTCAACGTCTGAGTAGTCTTGTTTTATTTTTAAGAGGAGAAAGAAAATGATAAAGCAATTCACTAAATCAAAACCAAGGAGTATTTGAAGACTGTAATCAAATGGTCATGTAAGTAGGAAAGTATTCTAAAAACATAACTTCTCTCCCAAAGAGGCACTTTTAAAACATGTTTTCATTTGCCTCCCAGAGGCAATCTTAAAACTTTTCATTCTTAAAACATCTTTTCATCAAAAAAGCCAGGAGGCAAGAGTGTAACAGCCTTCTATTGTGATATAAATTGCAGTGGATGTATGAAACTTATTTTGAGTGCAAAAGGTTTTATGATATTAAAGTCTTATTGGGACATTATTTTTAGTGACTGGATATTTTAATTGATGGCTTAGAATGAAGGTTTGCCACAGCTCCACTATTGAATGGCTCCATTGTGATTACTTATAAATCAGTTTTATTGTCAGCGTTGGGCTAATCAGAGATCAGCTCATGCTGAAAAGCATAACTAAAAAATAATGCACCACTGTGTAACAGGATTTGTTGAATTTTTCTCCTGCCATTTTATCTGTAAATAATTTTCAACACCTAACAATGAAAAGGGCTCCTTTGGTAAGGTGCTAATCTTGGGCCACATTCATAAAAATAAAAAGCACCAAAGGGAATGTGGTTCTTGGTTCACTTGCACTGAAAATATATCAATGCTTATTAATTTTGAACAACAACAAAGATCCTATGAGTAAGCTATCACTTTTAAACAATCACCCAAATTATTTGGGGGCCTTCAGATATCAAGAACTTGGGGCATGCATTGTCTACAACATAGCATCTCTGGAAATTTTTTTAGACCTCTAGAGAACGCCAGAAATAGCACTCAAGCATATGAGTAAGTGTCCTCTACTTAAGAGAAAATAGAGATACTTTCTCTCTATTGAAGTATGATATATGGTTATTTTCATGGAATTCAGAGTGATGAAAGCACATACTCTTTCTCAGATAGAAATGGGAAGCTGGCTGAAGCTATGAGAAAGTAGATCAGCATAGCATTTCTGAGTTATGCAAACAGATGAAGCAATCTCTAAAACAGCAGCACTTCATCTCAAAGAGCATCAGCAAATTCTCTGAAATAGGAAAAAACTAAGAAGTGTGATATGCTAGTGTGTGTGTGTGCATATATATATAAAACAGTAACAGAGTGAGCTCAGTCTTTTTCAGAGGACAAAAAATGTGGGATATTTTTGCTGCAGTTATGGATAATGTGATGTTCTATAATGCCATCGTGGAGTCAAGTGCTGAAAGGGCCTCAAGAGGGAGGTGAGCATGGTTCAAAGTCAGTCAGAGGGGAATTCTTTCATCAGCCAAGTATGAAAAATACTTCTCTCTTGGTCTTGTAAGAGAAGTAAGCAAGACAATTCATGTGCTCAGCCACGGTAGTTAAGTTCTGAATGTGTGTGCTTTTGGCCCTTTCCACTCTGCTGACCTAAATTTTGCAGCTCTGTAACTTCTTCCAGTAGGTAGATTTCTATCCTCCGGGCTACAAAGAACTCCCCACCAGTTCAAACAGTTCAAACACAGGAAGGCAGGAATCTTGCTGACCTTGAGATTTTCCTCACATTCCTCTTAGAACCCTCGTATCTGCCGGCCTCCATCCCTTTGTCATTCTGAACTGACAGGATGGGGACTGACTAGAGCCTGGCTAGCTATTCAGCCTGCAACTCAGGCTGCCCATCAGGATACTCTAATCACAAAGCCACATCTTTATCATCAGGACCTCAAGAGCACCAAGCTAAAGAACTACAAGACGAAGGTTATGGGGTTTTTTTCCCCCACTTTTATTCAAATTAATACAAAAACTGTATACAGTCTGATTAATTTCTCCCACCATCTCTCTTTTTCAGGCTGGTGCACTTAGATTTTAGACATGCACTGCTGTGGTCACATCATGGCTGTGCAAGATCTATCCTCTAATTTGAAACGATCATTTCAGACACACAAGCCAAAAGCCACTTGTCAAATAAGCCATGGGAGATGCCTGCCCACGTGAGACTGACTGAGATGAGGATAAACATCTTTTTAGGTAAAAAACGTATTTTTATAATGTACCTTTGGATAAACGTAATTGTCTTCTCCCCTTCTTTCCCAGATCAGGCACTTGAAAATAAGAAATTTCAGGAATAGGCAATCCAGTTCATTAAAATTCACTGGATTTGATTTCCTAAAAAATTCAAACAGTGTGGCATTTGGCATTTGCCACTAGAGTTAGTAAGACCGATAATGACTAAAATATTTTTGATGTGCTAGAGCTTGATTCAGAAATGCACAAGTTGGAGAAATTTCATTTGTTGTAAATTAGCCTTACTTCCCCTGAAATTCTGTCTTTAAGTAGTAGCTTTAGTTAGAAATTGGTTTAATATCACTTTTATTGGGAAGAACTACTATCTGTTCTGTGGCTTAGCCTCTCGTGCCCCACATATTCATTTAAATAATATTTAATGGCTTCAATTGCTGATAGTTTTGTTTATAAGGAACTAAAATAGTTTGAGCAATTACTTCCTCTTATCCAAATGAATGCAACCTACGTTGAGTCAAATTCAGTTTAAAAGTCTTAATTCTCATAGAAGTAAAGCAGCCAAAGATAGGGCCCTGAGGCATCTGGGTTTATGGAACGATAGACTCAGGAGGTGTGGGCTGGTGCTCGTGCTATCAGAACATCGGCGTGAACAGAACTGCCTCTGGGAAGAGGCTATGGCTAGGGTGCCTGCCCCTGTAAGACAGTTCTTTCTGCTGGAGTCCTGCAGCTTCCCATACTGCCTGTCACTGATCTCACTTTCTCTGTAAAGATGCTGCTCAGCTTAGCAACAGCCCAGGGGAGTGGGAATAAGGTTTGATGTGTTGAGAACTGCTCCTTCTGCCTGTGACAGCAGAGGTCAGTGAGGTTGTCTGGAAGCCTGACAAAGAGCAAGTCTATTTCCTACAGTAATAAGTTCCAAACACTGCACTGTCAATCCTTTAACATAAAACTAAATCACTCTGAAAAATAATACATTTGAGATCCTTTGCCACATTTATAAAAAGAAAAAACAAATTCAAACAAATATTAAAAAATCCTTTAAAAATGTGTCAATTGCCTTCTTATTAACAAATATAAAACAGTTTAAGACACTTGGTGACTTCCTTAGGTCATGTATTGGGGAATAGACACACAGTTAAGTTTTACTACTAAAATTATCTATTTGGTAAAAACTCTAGGAAGAGTTCCACCAATAAGATAATTGTTTTGGAAAGAAGAGTTAAAACTTTTTCCAAAATGTCAAAAAGAATAAGGATGTAAATACCACATTCTTAAAATATTAATACAACAATATTAATCCAGTTAAATAAATAAAAGAAGTGGCACCAACTTTATGGCAATTTTTCAACACAAAAATGTAACTCAAGGATATTCTAAAATAAATAATTGCTCCAAACAGGAACAAGCATTCTTAGCACAAACCAAGAGCATCTGAAATAAAGTGCTATGAGACGAAGCAGTTCCACATTTCAGCTTGTTCAGCTATGAGCAGAAATGCCATCTAGATCTTCAGGTCTGAAATATTCACAAGGGGAAAGTCAGCTTCACTAAATGGCAGGCTTAGGGCCGTCTTTTGTCATTTTTCTTTTTTCTTCCAGCGTGTGCTTAAATATTTTCTTCAGGGTGTTGTAAACTATTGGTCCATTTTCAGAATCAAAATTAACCTGGTAACAAAGAAAATTTATATTCAGGATACTATAACAAGGATTTTAACCAATCTTTATTTTGGGAGAAAAGAAAGGGGGTGGAGAAAAAAACAAAGATTTATAAACAAAATTATATAAATTAAAAAGCACACACAATGCATTTCACACACTAGTTTTAATTAAAATACTATATTAGAACTGCCAATCATGTCAATATCAAATTTATGAATGAAAACTAAAAAAATTAAATCTAGTGCCTGGATATGTACTGTATTCATGAAGCAAATCAATAGTGAGTGTGATGGGGGTTTTGAATGCAGAGACTAATCATGGATGGTATAAGGGAAAGGTCTCCTTATTAAAACAATGCACACCAGCTTAACTGTTGGACTGAGGTGACCTGAGTGGGGAGCCTAGCTTTCCACCTGTCGGCAATTATAGCCTCAGGTCATACCTAACCTTTCTGTAAAATGAAGACCACAAGATCCATCTCCTTAGGATTTCTCTGAGCACTAAATATGAGGCTCTAACACATGCTTGGCACATGTAAATACTTCCATAAAGTTAATTTCCTTTCCCATTGGTGGGAAGGCACCACATGTACATATTTGGATTGTTTACCCAAGTTCACCGTATTGCAGGGTTAGGAGTGATGTTAGGACAGAGAACCAGAGCAATCACCACACCTCCACCCCACTCCCATCGCCAAAGCAATGTGTGACTCCTTAGGAAAGGATCAGGATCACTTGGCCAGTGATCCCTTCCTACCTGGAGAGAGAGAGAGAGCGAAGGCTGTTCCCTTATGAAGGGCTGGAAAGAGTCTGAGATTTCACCCTGATAACACACCTTAAAGATGCTAGCAGAAGACATGAGATTGCTGGGTCAGAGACAAACAACTTTATGACTGAAGGCAGCACACGCTCCATAATCACATGGGTTCCCTTGCCCTCCAAGCCCCCTGGGGATGATGCAGAGGGGCACAGGTGGAGTCTGCATCACAGCTGAGGAACTCCATGCTTAGGCAATCCCCCATGTTTGATGAGGGAGCTGTGGCAAGACTACTAAGCTTTGGCCTGAAGGAAACATGATCTTTGTTACATAGGAAGCAGATGCTACACAGATTTCCTTGAAGAGCTAGCCTGGCATAGAAGCTATCAGGGCCTTTGCTCCTAAGATTGTGCACAAGGGGAGAGACCCAAGAACGGTATTCTAATATTTTTACAGACAGATTTGGAACAACTGGTATATTTAACTTTTCATTAGTATCCCCCTAAAAGGTCAACAGAAGCTGTAAAGAATTCCTACCACTTTCAGAGAGACAAGTATTCAGGATTTTTTCCAGTTAAATTCAGAAATTTAACTTTATCTTAATCATTATTTTGTCTGTCCTATCTGCAAAAACTTATTAACAACAGTTTGAACTGTATACTTTGTTAAACACCAAATCACAACCATCCCCACACAGCAGTGGCCTCTAGGTCTATGAAAACATAAACAGAGATGTAAAGGATCACATGACTTTGGTTTTGAGGCGCTGACTCTGGAAACAGTCATGAAGAGACTGAGGATGCAAAGTGGTTACAGCTGTAAAGCATCAGATAAAGAACAAAGAAACCTGCCAGAAGGACATCACTTTGGAAAGAGT